TAACCTCAATCACGAAACGCAAAGTGCATCTTTACTTCATATAGACTGGGTATGAAACACGCTAAGGCCCCCAAGTCTCTGGTTCAGGGACTCTGAACTTTAATCCAAAGTTAGTCACTCAGTGTTTACAAAATTCACGTGTGCCATAACGAGAGTTTGCGGTTCGATCAATAAACACCTCATACATGTTTCTGCAACCAGACACGTTTTGTTCTGAATGTCTTACAGTTACATATATAACTGAGAAAAATACCGTAAAGTAACATTTTAGAACAGACGCAAGGATGTTTATCAATACTATATTCTGGAATATACACAATGGACTTTGAATTAGGGACTATACGGTAATCAAAACATAGCACGAGACGAGACTGGTACATACTGATAGAAAAATATTTAACACATTAAAGAAAATATTATCATAGGCAAATTCATCACGAATAATTTTCATCTCGAAAAACGGAATTTAAATATTTATTTCGCTAAAGTAGACATGTAGAATACCTTATAAACTGGGACACATGCTGGGAATGGCTGAGAAAAGTAAAAAACATTATTTTCATAAAAATGGGAATAAATATTCTGTCAGTAATCACAACAGAAAATATCTGGAGATCTCTCATCGTTCTTAGATCAGAGCGGACGATAGTGCAATATCTTGCAATTAAAATTTAAATTGAGTTGAGACAATACTTATGAGTCGAAACAGATCTTTAAATAAAAATATAAAAAAATATATACATTAATATTAACTTTATTTTGTGTGTAAGAAAATCAAGCCGATATTTGCCATACAGACAGTCCGCGATGTCTCGCGAATTGCAAAAATTCAATTTACAACTGAGCCTGCCGCTGGAAAGAAGAATCTTGCTTGCACTTTTCATGTTTGCAGTCATGAGCACAAGTAATTTATAAATTCAATGTTTTTTTTGTAACAGAAACAGTGAGGCTGTCAATGTTTCGTAACAATAAATAAGAAATAAAATAAAGATGATAACAGTTCCACTTAAGCTGAAGCAGATTCGAAAAGTTGTTCGTTGCGTAATCGGGTACTTAAATAATTTATTACATACGTAGAGGAAACTTTTAAAAAAATTAATATCGTTAAGTATACTGAATATTGACATACGTAAAGCATCACTGTTGTAAAAATAAACTAATTGGTGAAACATATAAAATTACAGAATAAAATACAAATTGTTTAAATAACGATACACAAATGAAATGTATATATATTTTTTCTTTTCAAAAACCTCGAGACACTATGACGACACTTGGTAATCGTTTCACACGCTGTGTTCGTCTGCACGATTTGCTTTAAGCGATATGACATTGGAAAGATACAGCTTCAAACGAAAACTACGATCTAATTCCGTCTTCAAAGCAATTTTAACAAAATCTATGAAACAAATTTACCCTGGCGTGCATACGCGTATCTCTAATCCCCCACTCTCAATCTGGCGGTATCAGCACCAAATTCGCCCACATTTCGGGGTTTGAGCGCAAAATTAAGATTCCTCCACACCTCGGAAGTAGTCTTTCCTTTGTCTTCCTAGGGGAATCACAGCAAACAACAAAAATTGAAGCCAAACTATTTATCCTAATCCTTAAATTATAAATGGCGATCCCCACCTCATATATGAAGTCAAGAGCACGAAAGCGTGATATCTATTAGTATTCACTGTTTCTTCAATTAAACTATTTACACTCCTCATTGTAAGATACCATGTAATGATGGCTTAAATATTCCTGCTAATAAATTATTCGTTCAATAAAATATGTATTTTACAAAACATTTTATATTTAATTTTAATTAATTTGTTCCTAACTTTCGTAATGGTAACTGAACTGAAGGAAAATGGGCTTTTGTTTGTAATCTCGACGTCTCTGTTACTGTAGGTGTTCTGGACTACAATTTATTCCGCGTGTCAAAGTCTTGCATGACGTCTCACTGCGCTGGTGGAGTGTGGAAGCTTCCAGGACGCATAATACAGGGGACGACATATCCCTTCTCATAAACCAGTTATAAATTATATTGAACGTTGTTACTCAAACAGATGTACCGAAGTTTCTTATAATTTATGGCGCATGATTTATAGAAACACCCTGTATATCAGTCCAAGTCAATTGCAGAATAAATACGTGCGCTGTTGATCATGAACAAGTACACTTCAATATAAATTTGAAAATATTAACAAAACAATATTTATATAGGAATATCTAATTCCGGAGAAAGTGGTTGTCTTTCTGAGTACGAATAAATCCCGGAATTAAACTGCGTAAACAAAGGAACAAGTATATTTATTTTGTACAGTCTATACACAAACGTTTGAAGTTTATTGCTGTTGTAAAAATTATATAATATTAAAACATTTTGTTGTATAAAATATTATATTAGCGCTCTTAATCGTAAATACGATTTTACATTATATTTTTAGCGCTTTTATTAAAACGACATGTTTTAATATTATATAATTTTTTACAACACCAATAAACTTCAAACGTTTGTGTATAGACTGTACAAAATAAATATATTTAATCAAACACAAACATGACGCATATAAGATACAAAAAGGAACAAGGTTTAGCGCGCAAATTTACTGCGTGAAGTCATAAAACTCGCATCTGACGATATTAAAACGCATTACGATTTGCGAACGTCGTTGTAGGGGTGACTTACCAGGTAAAATAAAGCAGAATCCGCCACTGATTTGCAACTGACATCAACATTAAGACCAATAAGTCTGAATCTCTGTACACAACAGAGAGCTGTCATTTGATTTACCAGCTGCAATTAGCTGCCGTCCGCCGATCACACCGACGCCAGTCTGCAGTCCAGCGTCGCTTCGCACAATCCAACTGGCCGGGATTACAACGAGCAATGAATAATCCGCTAGAATTTCTCCTTCATTATTCACGTTGACAAGAAGCGACGAGTGGCTTAGCAAGGATTTGCTGACCCGACAAAGTTCTGAGCAATCAAACTCCCTCCCGTTCCTTAAACAACTCAAGCCGCTGGCTTAGAGGAGACCAGAAGCATTAAGACGTCTCTTATGGTCAAGATGATGGAACCTTTTCAGATAAAACTGTGACACAACGCCAAGGCACATTAATTGTCTGAAGATGGCTGTCCTCCGGGTTGTAGCGCCGTGTAATCTGGTACAAGTCCACCGACGTTTCAGAGGTCCTTGCTGCCTCCATCATCATAAATCATCGTCCTGATAATGGAGGCAGCAAGGACCTCTGAAACGTCGGAAAACTTCTACCAGACTACACCAAGCACTTGGATTCCTTTACCTTGTCTTAGTGGGGCCTCAAGGCACGTCTGGTTACGTACGTGACTAGCGAGAAATTTCTGTGAATCTCAGACAAGCGGAAAACAGTGATTTTCTGTTTATGTACAGTGCATGTGTCGCGCCTTAAATTGGATTACATAAAACAGGTCGACCCCCGCAACCAAGTTTCGTACATTCAGAATCCAATTTACCGCCTTTGGATAACGACTGTTTCAGTGTTTGTCGATTTCTGTTCAATTTAAAACCTTTCGAGGCAGACGCACGCAAATAGACTTCAAGGCTTTGGACCAACCGCATGCAATCCTAGCTCCAACACACTTTAATGTTATCTGCCAAACTTAAAAAATTTTGTGCTAAATGTCCAACCTACTTCATCGCAATTTATGACTAATTCCTTCAGAAGTAAAAATTAAAAAAAGTAAAGATATCCCACTACACGCCACGTAGGCTCTTGGAGGGGGGAGAGATAGTATATCTCGTGATAATTCTTAAGCTCGGCACTAGATGGTGTGAGTGGTCAGCATCACGCACCGGTCGTGCTTTACCCCCGAGGAAAGAACTCCGGTACCCCCAGAACCGGCGTAGACGCAAAGGCTGTCGGTCATCGAACGGTATGGTACGTAAATAGACGTACATTAAGTGAGAGACGTTTCATATAGCAGACATACGACGTCACAATATTCATCACACATCTCAAAGCGAGATACGAGACGATGTCTCATCGACACTGTGTGAAGAACGGAACATGACCTTTTGACAGCACTCAGCTGTACACGTAATAGTGTGGGGGGGGGGCGTATTAACATCCCACACAAGATTTCTCCGGCTTTAAAAACCATCTTTGTCTCCCCAAACACAGACACAATTTCCTTGGTAAGTAAATATAATCTCGCAAAGCATCCCTGAAGCCATCTAGCAGCGATGTCGGGAGATGCATTACCAGACCCGGGACCCAAACGAAATCACGAGAACGAAGTTGACTAAGAGAGTAGACATGAAGTAGTGTTAAGCGTATATGCGGAAAAAACTATATTTTCGAGGTAAACTTTTTTTAAAATATAAAACAGAAAATAATGACGTTACCAACGTCACATCTTGGGATAAAATCGAGTTTTAACTGACGAATTCAGTAACCAATGTGCCCCAAAAACGATATCTTATGACCTATAAGATGGATTTAACAAAGACGATGTTGAATTTATAGGTTAAGATTGTGACGGGTTGCATCTGCTGTTGGTTGGGGCGAACTGACTCGGAATTAACTGCGTCGCGAATGTGGATGACTGTCAGCGTTTACAGCTGTAATCACGTTATGCTGTAAAGTTCTGATTATTCCAGTTGAAACCGTGCAATTGCTTGAATAAAGGAAGGTAACACATGTCGATATTTACAGAGGTCTGCAAGCCTCCTGACATCCTCTGTGCCGCATTCATTCTGTAATCCCAAACCAAACATCGCGCTGTCACGCCTTCAACAAATGTTAGGTGCTCCCATCGATTCTCGTCTCCCTAAAGGCCCATTACTATAATCAGCATTTATTTAAAATCTTATAAATTATAATCCTGATGATGACTTCCCAGCTAAGTTGAAACACGTAAGGTATAATATAACTGTAATCAATTCTGACAATATCTTCTGAGAAAGATGATAAAATTATAAAATTGTAAAAACTATAAATAATTGTAATTTGAGTTTAAAAGTTTATAATTTACACCTGATGACGGTTTGATAAACCGAAACATGTTGTGAATGTTCCGATGTAAATCGAATGCTCGATATGGAACATAAGATGATATTTTAATCATTTTAATTATCTTATCTTACTATTTTATTGTGATTTGACGGTAAACAAATATAATAATTATTTTAATTAATATCACAATATGACGCAACTATACTATCTCAATATCTTAGTTATTTGTTGCATCTGACGGTTAGACCAGTCGACTGGAATCAAATGAAATGGGCCAAAATAAAACTTTCAAATAACAAGACTTTTATTCATTAACACATTCTGTTACGTTGCAGTGCGTCCTACCGGACTGTACGTAACGCCAATGATCACCTCGACAATATTAGGGAATAAATAGCAAAGCATTAGTTCCAAAGTCTACAGAATTCGTTCGGCATTAATATTTCCAGGGCACAAAACTTGTTTATTAATTAAACATGTATAACGAAGCCCGGACTCTTTCCAGACAGTTCCTTAACCAGCACGTCTAAGAGTTAATCACAAGAAGAACTTAATTCGTACAAATAAAACTTGGAAAATGTAAACTTTGACCCTCCAAGCACTGAAGTAAGAATCACGCGGGAGGGTTTTTTTTATACAGAGTGATCAAATTCAAACAAACACCTTTTATCCGAACGACGTCAAGCCGACCGCGCTGCAGGGCAGGGGGACGGCGTATCGACTGGGTTTCTGCAGCGCTAGTAGCTTTATGGAGTCCCACAGCCAGCTCAAGGTCACGTGAATCCCCTCTCCGTTCTGCAATCAGAACCCGCAACAGATGATCGTCTTCCCTGATGTTATTTCACTAAAGATACATCCAGTCTATCCGTTACTTTAGAACGCAAAGGTTACGGGCATTGACAATTCTGTGGTAATTTGTACGCCAAGCCATTTCCAATAAATATCACGTTGTTGGTAAGAAAAAGACTATTACTGCTAATTCCGAATGCGAAATTTTAACGAAATCCGTGAAGCAGTTCTGGGTAGACAACGAGACGGCGTCTCAACACTATAACACACCGAGGGCCCAGCGTCCCCGTGCAATACCCGGCACCAATATAGCCCGCAAATCCCAGATCAGATTCCATTCCCACTGTCTGCCGGTAATAGGCTTTACAGCTCGAAATCCCTTGACGTAAACTAGTACGAACCAGGGCATTCCGCCTCCCTCTCTCCTCATGCACAATTACTGTAACAAGACATGTTACATTGCACAGTTCAGAAAGTTAATAAACTCCACGGATGAGGACACTATGCCATGAACTCCACAGAACACAGTCCTCCTTGAAAAGCTAATTGTCGCTCAGCTAGTAAAGAAACTTCTTCAGTACTTCGTTCACAAGGGCTCGCCACTAGTACAGATAAATAACATTAGCCTACCCATGAACTCATAAATAATATATATAGCCTGTATTTATTTAAATTAAATTTGCTACTACTAATTGTGTTGGGCGAGGCCGTGGTCTAGGCAACACAGAGTTTTCCTCCGGGGGCTTCTCCGGTTTCTCCGTGGCATCCCAACAATTACTCCATTCACACACAGAAGAAGGCAATGGCAAACCACTTCTGGATCATCTGCCAAGAACGTATATGAACAGGTCCCAGTCCGAGAAAAGGATGGAAGGATGTTGTTCATATGGACCTGTCGTCAGACAGAACACTAAAAAAATAAATAAATAATGCGTTACAGATCTCGGACACATATTGTCAAGTGCCATTATCAGTACGATAAATCGGTTCTATAAAATGTCATGAAGATTAATTTACGTTTTGCGTAAAGTAGAGTTTATTTGCACGCTTATATGTTCTAGTGTAAACGCAGAATAAAACATTTCGTGGAAATTCCTTCAGAAGTTTATAAGATATAAACGCAAGCGGACGGAGAGAATGACACATCTACTTCGAGTAAAGAATCCACGGAATGACGGAATATTTATATTAGTAAAAATCATTTCTCCCCAGACTTCTACAAAATAATCAAGATCAGAAATCGACTGGGGTCTCAGTGCACTTCCTCTAAGACACCCCCGTCGGTCCGATCCTGTTTTTTTTTTGGGGGGGGGATAGATATATAACATTGTAGCCCGTTAAGTTTCTATCTTCATAGATTGTCACTCGGAAAAATTTTCCATCAGTATTTGAAGCAAGAATTAACTCTGTATAAAGCGACACTTGACATCAATTTCTGAGAAAAAAAAACACCCTCTTAAAACTCAATCAGAGGCGACTCTCGTTATACACGGGTGTTCCATTCCATGCAAATCACCGCGTAGAACAAAATCTCATAAAACGGAAAACGTATGACAAAAATAACAATTTTTGTTACACTGGCGAGAGAATTCTTTAATGCTACGATTATAGATTACGTCACATTCCCTGGACAAGATCCTACGCAGGTTATTATTATAATTAGTGTTCTGTCTGACGACAGGTCCATATGAACAGGATCCTTCCATCCTTTTCTCGGACTGGGACCTGTTCATATACGTTCTTGGCAGATGATCCAGAAGTGGTTTGCCATTGCCTTCTTCTGTGTGTGAATGGAGTAATTGTTGGGATGCCACGGAGGAAAACTCCGTGTTGCCTAGACCACGGCCTTGCCCAACACAAGTTATAAATTCGGGCACCGCCGGGAATCGAACCCGAGACTCCCAGGATTACAAGGCCAGCGTTCTAACCGCTAGACCACCGTGGCTCTCCTACGCAGGTAAGAGACTTTAAAATTTCTCCCCAGATCCTCATAAAACTGAAACAAAAACGCGGATATCGAAAACGCGTATAACGAGAGTGATCTGTATTCAAAAAGTATACTCACTAAACAACATATTCGATCATGCAAGCGTCGTTTTATGAAAACGAAGACACGATTAAAATACAGGAACTTAGGGGAGACTTCCTCCATAACGTGCTCGAAGTTCGCTAGACTTCTCACTACGATACGGGATTTCTCAATGGCGTCTGCTGGACAGTCCAAAGTTGCGAAGGCGTTCGGGAGTCAATTAAACTTCAATTAAACAACTTGGCAATTTGCAGGAGACATTCTCAGCGGACGCGACAGGCAGTGAAATGTGGCGAGCCAACGAACCCTCATTCTAATTATACATGACGGAGACAGGATGCTTTCTGATCCCTGTTGCGTTATTCGGCTGTGAAATCTGACGCTAACCCAAGTCTATTCTCCCTTTACGTCCAGTGGTAAATTAACGTACGATCTGTTTCAACAATAAAAAATGCTACCCCTTCGTTGTGAGTTTCGTAATCTCAGTGTAAGCAACGATTACGTATTTAACAGTTGTTTAATTTTAACCGTCTAATCACAATAAAATATTTTATTAAATATTAAAATATTATTACTACAATTAACATTTAATATTTAAAATATATTAAAATATATTAAAATGATGCTCTCCCTATCGAAATGTTCGATTTACAATTAACAGCATTAAACTGTTCATCTTCGTGACGGTACGGTCTCAAGTCTTATATACAATTTAGACAGCTTCAAAGAATATTAGTAAATCAATGAAACGAATAAAAATCAAACTGCCTAAATTGCATTGTTTCACTGAATTAGATATGCTGAAACTTACCAGTAAAGTCTATGGCACTCAGGCTAGGGAAACCTAGGGGGATACCACTTTCATTTGTTTGCCAGACTGCTGGCTGGTATTCAGTCGTCCCAAGACCTCCTGCGACCGGCCATCTCGGCAAAGGTTTTCTTTAAGTAATGTTGAGACGGTTCCAAAGTTCCAAGTTGCTACTGAATCTTTACCATTCAGCCCTCCCGATTCGAATTCATCATCAGACACAGGACACAGAAAAGGCGTATTCTAACTGGCCAACATATTGCAAAATCTGTCTCAAGCTGGCAAAAAATGTCCCGCCTTTCATGGAACTAATAACATTATCACCATATTCATAAAAGTCCTCCCCTTAGATCTTAAGCCAAGTTCGTAATTCTTCTAACTACATGTCCTGTCAATCGTATCTTTAATTCAACTATGAGGACCGTTCAATAAAGACTGAGAATGATTTTGTCCAAAATATTCGGAAATCTTGAGGGGGGAACTTTCATTTATTGTGGTTGGCAGCACTGACGGCGTCTGCCGTTACGGGCCGCCGCGTGTTTCGTTGTGATTGTCCTGTAACCTTCCAAACGTGTAAACCATTAATTATTTTCACTGCCATCTGTTGTGACAAAACCGAAATGGAAAATTTAACTTCGTACGTGTGATGATGTTGGAAGTAAAAGGGTACAAGATACAGACCTGTAATATGAAATTTACGAGTGTCGCAGGTATGCCACAATACCGCTTTAAAATATACCACGTGACGTGCGAACTCACCTCAACGGATGTGCTGTCCACGTGGATAACGTGGGTCGATTCCTGCTTGTCAGATGGATCCAGGAGTTCTCCCCCATATCTGTTCAAAGTCGTAAAGGACAATAACTTTACAGCGTGCACTGAAGTGATCAACGCAGTACGAATCAAGAAACTCACTTTGCCGTTCAAAAAAAGGATACGCTATGAAGTATCGTTCCAGTTCGCGGCGATCCTTGGTGACAGAGTCCGGCAGGACCACCCTGACGCCTTCAAACACGTCTGGCAGCGGCTGCAACAGGCACGACATACACTCTGCGGTTTTACGACTACTAAACGGTTTCCGGTGAAATTTAGTATTTGGGGGTCTACACTAAAAGCAGCATACGAGGTGCGATCAGAAAGTTTCCAGACTGCGCGTATAAAAACCCGTACACTTATCTCAGGTATTAAATACATCCATCACCCTCGAAGTAGTTCCCCTGGGAGTGAACACAACGATCCCAGCGCCGCTGCCAAGCCTGGAAGCATCCCTGGAAATCTTTCTTTGTCAGCCTGTCAAGCACCATCTGCGATTCTGCCTGAATCTCTTCTATCGTCTCAAATCTCCTTCCCTTGAGCTGAATTTTCATCTTTGGGAAGAGGAAGAAGTCACACGGAGCTTAGAAAGGAAGTTGGGGTCGGATCTTGCAAGATCTTTGAGCTCCTGACAAACGAGAAGTCAAGTCGATTCTGCTTCTGGTCCTCAGACAGGAGCCTTGCGTCGCATGTGGAGTTCTTCCTTTAGAATCAGCTGACAGGCCCCATAGCCTATCCCAACAATGTCGCACAAGTCGTACAAGTGATGGTACGACGTCGATCTTCGTAACAGTTTCGGGCGTTGTGCTCGAAGATGGTAGTCCAGAACGCTCGTCATCATCGACAGAGGTTCGGCCATTTTTAAAACGTGAATGCCACACAAAAGTTTGTGCACGACCCATTGCGGACTCCCCAAATGCTTGCTTTAGCATTTCATAGGTTTCCGTAGCCGTTTTGGGGAGTCTTTGGCAAAATTTGATTTGTTCATGAAAATCCGCCATTCCGAAATCGCAGGAGTGTCGGTGTAATGCACTACCAAAACGCCCGTAACTAAGAAACAAATGCTAATTCGATGATGCAGGCTGGCACACTGATTCACTATGAATGTAGGCCGCACCCCCTAAAGGCAGAAGCTAGTACTACATCCGGTTCGCCCTCTATTGACACAGTCTGGAAAATTTCCGATCGCACCTCGTATATGCACTAGTGTCTCTGTACCGGAATTTCGAGGAGTTGCTGAGGAAGCCCACGAGAAATGTCAAGATATTCTTCTATGGGCCGAGATTTTTAACCTGAATACGAAGCAGAACTGTTAACCACTCGACACCCACGCTGGTTCTTGTGAACATAGTAATGAACTTCAGGGTAGCATGTGAGCGACCATCAGCTTGTAAAGTCAGACCGTGCATCATAAAATTAGGTGTACGAGTATTAATACCCGCATTAAACAGGCCTTTTAATTTTGAAATGTTTACTAAAATACGAACCAACTCCCTTTTTTTTCAGTCATGTGCTTATCTGCGTGTAATCCATTGCTGGCAGCAATGTACATACAGATAAGCACCTCGTTAATTTCAAATGAAATCCGAGTGGCCATTTCAACTCACACGTCAACAAATAGGAAAAACAAAGCTACACCTGCCCAATCGGGTTTCTTATTCTAAATGGGTTTCCACCATTAAAGTATAACCTTTCTTGCCTCACGGCGAAATAATTAAGGAAAATTAATTTTAATTTAAAAAAACAGAAATTTGTGAATACAAATATTAATTAAAATATTCCTAAAAAAAATTCCGGACTTAATGGAACGTCCTGTGATGTTAGACGGAAACTTAACAAAAATAATATTCTGATTTTGTAAGTACTTTTAACTTAACTCCATGAAAAGAAAAATGTCCATATTTTTCGGGTAATTGTCCAGAAAATTTCCTTTCGGGACGTGCAGCCTCGTCATGGTTGTACACAGCGTGTGTTTGAAGACTGCAATTGATTAACCAATTTGTAAGTTGCATGTGAACTTCGGCGTTGAGAACGTGGCAAACGTTAGAAAATTTGAGGTTAAATCTGACACACTTAACGTAACTAAATTTGCATTCGCAGGATTGTGACGTCATTAATTCATACGTCTTGTTCCTACTAGCCTCGTTTAGCCTCTTCGTGTAGATTTTTAGACAAGGCTCAATACAATTTTCAGTAATATTCTGTTTTTAAGATAATTTTACGATGTGTCATCTTATAACTCGAGAATCCCCTAGCTGATTTTGATCACGTGTATTTTATACTAGAGTTCTCTGTTGTCTGCCGTAACTATTTTACACTTTTATCAAGACAACATCAAGAGATCAGTGGCGAATCCTGGTTTAGAAGTCAAACAAAAAGAATCATGATCCGAATTTAAAGTTTGCGTGTGTGTGTGACGAAACTTGAGGCCACTGACAGCTACAAGTAGCGAGGAAATATTCAGTGGCAGGAGACACTGGGAAGCTGTGTCTAATCCTCCAAAGCTTTTCCCAGTGAATTATTCCCACAAACAAATCCGCGTATGAGAGATGGCGTTTACAGGACAAAGAATTGAATTAGCTAATGGCTTGTTCAGAACTACGGAGAAACAAATGTAAAAGAGAGGTCCATTAGCACAACGGAGCTGCACCAGTTTATAGTAAAAAAACCGACTAGCTCTCGTAGTAACACAGCCATGACCTACATACCTCGACGGTGTTTACAGCTCTGAAATGTAATTGGATAAAAGTCGCGTAATAATTTGAAGTATTTTAATAAATTTTATAAATATATATTTTTTTATTGTAAAGTGGTATGTCGAGTTTAAAACTGCCTCTGATATATTTAGCGAATACTACAGATCCGTGGTATCGAATACAGTTGACCGAGATCCTTCGGAATCCTATTAGCGAGTCCATCACCCTTCCAGTTTCAGACATACGTAATACAGACACAAAAGAGCCTTCTTTATTTCACACGGAGGATACAGCCTCAAACAGCTCTTAAGTTTGACGTAACATCAAGTCCTGAGGACAATTCATCAACCTTGTACTGTTTAACGTCTGACCTTAAATACCTGTAATACAGAGTGATGAAATTTTGTGTGATACCGTAATAAATGTTCATGTACGAGGTGCGATCGGAAAGTTTCAAGACTGTGTCAATAGAGGGCGAACCGGATGTAGTACGAGCTTCTGCCGCTAGGGGGTGCGGCCTACATTCATAGTGAATCAGTGTGCCAGCCGGCATCATCGAATTAGCATTTGTTTCTTAGTTACAAGCGTTTTGGTAGTGCATTGCACCGACCCTCCTGCAATTTCGGAATGGCGTGTGCATCAAATGTTGCCAAAGACTCGCCAAAACGGCTACGGAAACCTATGAAATGCTAAAGCAAGCATTTGGGGAGTCCGCAAGGGGTCGTGCACAAACTTTTGTGTGGCATTCACGTTTTAAAAAGGGCCGAACCTCTGTCGATGATGACGAGAGTTCTGGACGACCATCTTCGAGCACAACGCCCGAAAATGTTACCAAGATTCGGCAGGCCATTCACGAAGAGCGACGTCGTACCATCAACGACTTGTGCGACATTGTTGGGATAGGCTATGGGACCTGTCAGCTGATTCTAAAGGAAGAACTCCACATGCGACGCATCCTGTCTGAGGACCAGAAGCAGAATCGACTTCTCGTTTGTCAGGAACTCAAAGATCTTGCAAGAACCGACCCCAACTTCCTTTCTAAGCTCCGTGTGACTTCTCCCTCTTCCCAAAGATGAAAATTCAGCTAAAGGGAAGGAGATTTGAGACGATAGAAGAGATTCAGACAGAATCGCAGATGGTGCTTGACAGGCTGACAAAGAAAGATTTCCAGGGATGCTTCCAGGCTTGGCAGCGGCGCTGGGATCGTTGTGTTCACTCCCAGGGGAACTACTTCGAGGGTGATGGATGAATTTAATACCTGAGATAAGTGTACGGGTTTTTATACGCGCAGTCTTGAAACTTTCCGATCGCACCTCGTATAACGTTGTCCTATTAGTGGAAATCAAATAAGCAAACCTCAGAACCTAGCCTTTACTCAAAAGCAAATTTACAGCAGTTATGACACTATAATTCTGTTAACTTCTCTGTACAATGTTACGTAATGTTTTCCAGCTGATTTACGTATCATTACTGACCCTGAAAAGGTAATTTTTACCTATAAATTGTAAAGTTGCAGTCATAAGGTCGTAACATTGAGACGCATTCAGACTGTACGCCATAAGCGATAATATAATACGTCAGAGAAATAAATGATACTTCATTCACTGCTTGTAATTTGTCGACGGCGAGTTCAGAAACTGAACTATGTAAGCTTTTTCCTCTTTTGGTGCATCTGATGTTGAAGTTTGTGGTGAGGTGAAGCGATGATGAACCGGTCAGGGCGATAGACCCACAATACATCAGAATTTCAGTTACGCCAGTGGGGAAATAGAACTTTCAATAATATATAATCTTCTTTTCGTCACAGCGGCTTAAATTTCGAGGAACGGAATACAAACTTAACAGACGATAATTTCGGAGATGCGGAAATAAAATTTACTAAAACTTATAACCTGTTTTTGGAAAAGAAATATTGCATTATTAAAATACGATAGCATTTCAGTCGTCGTGTAAACGCATTTACTTTCATGAATTTTTTATTACACTGTGCAGTAACAGCTTCACACATAAAGTTTCTCAGTACCACTCTGATACCATTATTAATTAATCTCTGAGTTAACTTACGGCCTGCGGAATCATAGTTCCCGCGTTTAAATAACCTAACCTGCCTGATGAACGCTAAAAATAGTGAATGCAAGGTCGTATTTCTGCTAGCTAGCAGGCGCCAGAATTTCAGCATCAACTTTCAGCCAGATTCTGTGAATAATGTCAGGGTTTATTTATTTATTTATTTAGTGTTCTGTCTGAGGACAGGTCCATATGAACAGGATCCTTCCATCCTTTTCTCGGACTGGGACCTGTTCATATACGTTCTTGGCAGATGATCCAGAAGTGGTTTGCCATTGCCTTCTTCTGTGTGTGAATGGAGTAATTGTTGGGATGCCATGGAGGAAAACTCCGTGTTGCCTAGACCACGGCCTTGCCCAACTCAAGTTATAAATTCGGGCACCGCCGGGAATCGAACCCGAGACACCAGGATTACAAGGCCAGCGTTCTAACCGCTAGACCACCGTGGAATGTCAGGATACCCGCTGATAAAACAAAGTTGCCTGTCCAGTCGATATCTAGAACATTTGTATTAAGACGAAATTTCTTCACGTTTTAAGTTTTAATTACGTGCCAGAACAGGCAAGATACGTTTCGACTGACGTCTTGTCTGGAAGAACAATGGAGACGGGTTTGTGGCAGATTCCATCACAGATCCACTTTCGTTGTTTGTAAAACCTTCGCACTATTTGCATGATTAATGGCCCCTGGGAAGTGTACGTATTTCATTCAAGACGAGTCTGTATCAGTCTGACAATAAAATAAAGAAAACAGCAGAGAGGGAAAATAAATCTATTCAGTGGTTCTCGAAGAAACAGATATAAAGACGCAACTACAAGACAAAATACAACTTAAATCAAACGAAGAGAAAAAAACAGTTGCCTCACTACACGCCACGTAAGTGCTCGAGGCGAGATAAAGTATGTACTCTTTTAATTCTACATTACAAGCATTGACGATAAACATAACCTCTCACTTGAGATTGTAACAAAGAAACACGAACTTTTAACAATAACATTTAAATAAATTAGTATTAATAGCTCCAGTTCTGGTGCGACGAAAATCTTTTCAACAAGCGAGAACGAAACATTCATTAAATAAACAACACTTGATTCCATAAAATTTGCCATTTACATTCCACTAATGCAGAAAGTTTTCAATCAGAGGCTTCTTCTGCTTGTAATTAAACGTCTTTGTCAACGATATTTTCAGAGATTCACCTGCAAAATCAAATAATCTGTAAGAACCTGTCTCACGTCAAGACAAATGTTTCGGAGGTGCTTACCGCCTCCATCATCAGGACAGTGATGGAGGCATCTGAAATTTCAGTCAACTTCTACCAGGCTTTACAGAACAACATCCCAGAAGACAACCATTTTAACAGTAATAAATATTTAGGCTCCTTAAAAATGGAAAATTTCTTGACAAAATAAGCAACTCTCAGCTTCTCTATAAGGACTCAGATTCTTGGAGGTAATGAGTAATCCCTTCACCTGGCAGAAGCCAACTGAAGTAATTTACATTCCCATATAATACGAGCAATCACAAATGTTATTTACGTACCTTCTTGATGGTAAACTGAGATTTTCCTTTTGAGTCAGCCTGTACTGTCTTCCTCCTCTTCGCAGGTGATTCATCATCCCCATTCTCAGTTACGTCATTACCGCCACGGGCAACAGATCCAATATTCTCATCGCTGGATTTCTGTTGTTTATGTTTAGAGCTTCGTCCTGAAGTTTTGCTCGGCTTTCAATTAAAATGAAAATCGAAAATAGTAAACAAACAGGTAACATTCACGGCCGTACAGCAATTTCCCCTACAACGTGATAGTTGCAATTTCTCCAAAAATTGTTTCACAAACTGCGCGTTCGATTGTAATTAAGGGGTTAGGGGTAGAGTCCAGACGGTGTCACACAATCGTGTGCATTCTTTTCAACTAAAAACAACATTGGAACTTAATTTATCTTCTATTAATATGCACCAAACCAAATTACAGTGTTAGTATTAGCTCCTGTAACTCCGCATAGGGTCTCCTTTCGGAGGTTTCATAGTCTTCAAAGCGTCCATTTGTGAGTAGTGAGTGACCAGCCCAATGACTCTGCACAATTTCTACTCAGTCCTGATTTGACTGCCAGAGCCATCTATCAATGAAGCAGTGAATCAGGAGAGACTTGGGTGAGAAATGGCCGCTGAATTATGCTTACGAAAATCTCGTATCATGCTCGTAATGTTCTTTTACATGCCGTAAATCTACGACATGAGACCGCTGACTTTACTTCCCCTCCGAAGGAAGTTGTGCTACGGATTTTTATCACCCTTAAAAATTCCATCGACCTCGGCCGGGATTGAGCCCGCGAACCTTGGAGTTCCGTGGCGAGAACGCTAACCACTAGTCCACCGAGGGCGACATGTTAACCAACCCCAAAATTTTGACAGGTCCTTGATACTGCAGCTTGCAGTAAAAAAAGAATTCACTGTTAGCACGTCTGTAGCCTTTTTCAAACACGCATTTATGGTTTACTTCTCTCAATATCTTTGATTTATTTCGATCGTGTTATATCAAACACGCATCAGCATTATAGAAAATGCTTTCTCTTATAAATCAATTGCATTATAATGAAAACACACATTATAGGAGAAATTACTGAGCTGCAAGTTCATAGTACGGCGATATATGAGTGAACTACGATGTTCCGCTAATTAAATCTTGACTTACTAGGTAATGAGTTATTTGGTATGTGAAAGGTTTCCAATGGGAACAGCAGAGCAAGAAACATAAAAGATTTAGGCAGAATTTCTGACACTGTTTTTGTTCACATATTTCAAACTGTATAGGGTCTAACAGAAATGACAATCACGTGATACAGCGAACTATTTATGTGCATTAATATCATTTAGTTTAAATTTAAACAGCTTGAAATCTTTCAGACAAAACCTGAAGTTTAAAACACAGAAATGCCTATAATTTTTAATGCGTGCATAAGAATATTTACCTTATCTTTGGATCGGTTACTTGAATTCTTTGCAGAAGCAGCTCCTGAAGACCCCACATGAGAATCACAACTGTCACTGCCTTTGTCTTCCTCACGTCGATCTACACTTTGAACGCGAGATGTGGAGGGGAAGGAGAAATCCTCGTTCTCCTTAGATTTCTTAAATAAATTCTGGCAAAGGGAAAAACGAATTGGTAACTTAGTGCGCAACACAAAGGTCATTACGTGATACAGGAGTCTGGAGTAACAAAATAAAATATGTACGAGGTCTCAGACCTTAATTTTTCCCACGGAAACAAATGAAGCACGAGAGGTGTCCTCCGGTGGAGGGGTGTAGGGGATCTTCCGATACATACTGACAAAGATTACACTACTACACAATTCTAGCTGCGTATTTACCATTAAACTAATCTTGGAATTTACAGTCAGCTGACTGATATAGCATTGTTAAAGAACCTCCTAACTAATAAACCATCAACATGAACCAAGGAGTTTATTGATTTAAGAAACTTAACTTTGCCAAACACGTACCAAATTGAATACAGGACCGTTAATTGTTACAAGAAAAGAAGTTTAGAAATTAAGTTAATTTGTTATTTCCTATGCGCCATAACCAACCTTTAGTTCAGGAAGTGAAGTGGCAGTTTCCCACGTTTTGTCATCACGGATCTTCGTTACCCGTGGAAATCGGATAGAGATGCCAGAAGCCGTGTGAACTTCGTGTTGAGTAAATTCTGCACCTGTGATTTCCCAAACTGGCATTGCCTGCAATAAACATCTTTCGCATTAAATTCTGCTATAAATTTAATGTGGCTCATTTGGGTTGCCTAGTTCGTAGGAAAATTGAGAAAGGCAGTCAGACAGGCGTCGACAGGTCATCCTAGACCACGAAGGACACTTGAAAACAATACGAAATAAAAAGTGGTATTTCTTTCAATTCCGAAACAACACTTGCATCAATGATACACGGTAGTGTACACGTGCAGATATAACTTGCAAGGGGTTAAACACATTTTACTCTAAATCACAATTAAATTCTAGTTTTCACTGGTCTCTTACCTTGGGATCTCTTGCTACAAAATCAGGAATCATAGTCTTGGTGCAAGAAAGCCAGTCGGGCACTTTAGAAGCTTCCTTGCTGATTTTAATCATATCAAGTTCTTCCTGTGAATAAAATTGTTTATATATTAAGCACCACTTAATAATTTTTACACGATTAAAACCACGCTAAAAAATTCTAATGGGACTCTTCATTTCTTTCACATCTGAGGTCAAAAATTTCTATGGAATCGCAGTTTAGCATCTGTTGTTATAGATGTCACGGTCAGTCAGGTCAGAGATGAGTTCAGGCAACAGGCAGAACAAAATCTCATGGAAATACACGTTTCAAGGCGAAGTGGTCAGACTGGTAACCACTCACACGCAGAACTTTTAAAACAGCTGCGTACGAGGGAAGAACATAACGCACATGAGAGCTTGAAAGCATGTTTATAAATCACTTCCTTTTTATTTTACGAACATAAACCAATAAATTTTCATCTTAACACATATGAAAAACAAGAATCTCTTTAGTAGGATTTGAGGTTCTCACAGCAGTGAGTATGAAGATCATCAAGGTGACGAGTTATTACCCTGACGATGGAGGCAGCAAGGATCTGTGACATGTTGGTAAACTTCTACCAGACAACACACTGCTACAACCCAGAATACAGCCAACTCTGAGTACTTCCTTCTCAGTTTGCTCAGTGAATCTAGTGAAGTAAGGCACGTGGCAGGTATAGGTCGCGCGAGTAGCGGTGGCACATAAATGCGCGACGTGTAAGCCGAGGGAGGGGAGTTCGGTAGTAGTGGGGGTCGCACAGCCTCAACTGCTGTGACGCACCGATCTAAACACAGCTAGAGCTAGGAACCAACTGAAGCTGACACCCCTCTAGCGTGTCCTTCGGGCGGGTTCATCTCGTACGACCAAAATCAGTCCGTTGCGCAAGTGCCAACGCTCGGCCTCTACCAACAGATCAAGGAGAACTAGTGGAATTTTCTGTAGGTTGGATGATTGCAAAAAGGTTAAAACAAAGTACACTTTAATAAGGGCCATGTTCACTAATCACAAGCATTCCAGGTGTTACACTGGTAACTGCATCTACAGACTCTCATACCTGCAGTCTCTCCAGTGTTTTGTCATCATGTCCAGTATGAACTTTGGTAACCGTGCACCATTTCTGGTTAGCGGGATTGTAACAACCCATCAAAAACACAGACATCATGCCACCTGAAAAGTAAAGCAAATGATACATTCTGAAACTCGTGTATTATTATTTTCTATGCCTACGACCCATTACAAACGTACAAAACAATCACATGACATCTCAACCCTTGGTCTAATTTCAGTCAGAATGTGTACTTATTTCAAATTATAAGACCAATGAGAAAATTGCACTAATGGATATACTCGCGTAGGCATCTTTTCTTTTATTCAGTATGTCTCGGACTCACTGAAGAATGAACATTATTTAAGTGAATTTCTTCAAGATGACTGATGACAAACTACACAGAGGTTAACTTAGGCAACAACGATCACAGCCCATGTATTATGCACGGCTAGCTATAATCTTCATTTCAAAAATTTAAATTTAAATTTTTTTATATGCAACTTGGAGATGAAAAAATTGTGGTCCGTCAATTTTACTTTTAAGAGTCCCAATCCGAGAGGCTCCTGTGAGCACACAGATATATTTACAGGTTCCATAAATGGTATGGAAATTCTTGACTAGCTGATTGGCTATTAGCTTATCAAGAAGGACTATGCTCCATGGAGTTAATTCATAAGCTAGTTAAAGCCTATACAATGAAAATAATGTCAATTGTGTATGATGGTGTAACATTATTAAAAAAGTAAGAAATTAAGGTTTCACAAGAAACTGCTCTCACGTGGAATGGTTGGAGGGGGTGACGAACGGACAGTAATACGTTACTACTCGTTCAGAAAACATCAGAGTCTAACATGTATTATGATCAAACATTTTGTGACACTTCTACATTTGTCACCTTTTTGTAAAACAAACACAAAGTAGGTTAGCTGAGTTTTCCGACAACAACAAACAGTTGTGATTCTATAACGCGTAACTACTACAAATATAGCAGCATAGTGAAAGGGGTTTAAAACAATAAATTATGTTTTAATGTGGCACAACGAGATGCAAACCGTGCGGAAAAATCTTACCTTTGTGTCCAGTCCCAAACCAGGCGCCAAGCACCACAAGGTCTGCACTGTCAGCCATTGCTCCGCCATGTAAATAATCCTTCTTCACCTTCAGCCAGTGTCTTTTGCCAGGTTCATATATACTCTGCAAGTGAAGGCAGTGTGTGTCAGTAGCAACACAACTAACATCTCTTTATCTTATTAAAATTGTGATTTGACAGAAAACATTAAAATATTAACCTAATTCACAATATGACGCAAATATACTACCTTATAACATCTCTTTATTGTACCGGCTATATTAAGAGATTCTTTCGTGTTGTATTTTATCATTGCAACTAGCCCAATATCGTGGACAACTGTTAGCAGTCCTGCGAGTTGATATTCTCATCACCTAGAGTAACTCACGACCACAAAAATCACAGGATGGCTGGTCACCGACTGGAACCTTAACCTCACACTTCTCAAATATGCCACTTTGGTTCTGTCAGTTACTCTATCAAGTACACAGACTCCCAGTTGTGGAGAAAAGTTTAATTCTGTTCAAAATCTGATGATCCAAACTCTCTCAGGGGCAACAGTTAAACAACACGATGCTTTGCACTCACCATTAAATCCTTAAGCACTAACCCTTCCAGTCCAAGTTTTAAAACTTTTGTGATCATTTCTTCCAAGTCTTTTGGATCCTAATAAGAAAGAGAAAACAATTTAAATAATTTTAATCAAATGGTGATGGGATGAAAAATGTAGACAGTGAAGGAATCATAAGTCCTTTGAAAGCCCATCCTTAAACATCTGTGAAACTATTCCATTCCCAGGATCTATCTAAAAAAAAAGTAAACCCAAATAGAGATGTCCATCTTTATGCATGTGTTATGATTACCGTATCACAATTATAAAATCGCAGAACAAATTCAATTAAATTTAAACAGAACTTTCCTAGTAGAAATAAAGGTAGTGGTATTCTGGGGTTATCTGCTACAAATTTAACACAATTTAATGATCTTTCTTAAATTCTAAATAAAAAATTAAGTACTGCAGCCCAGTGTTTACTACCACAGAGAAGCGCTGGATATAAATCATTTTTGTTGTTGCTACTGGAACTTTATGTACTTACATTAATTTCTTTCATTTCAGAAAACATAATGCGATTTGGAACTTCTTCCATGTTTTCCTCCAATATTCTTCTTCTTTCCTTCATTGGTCTGGGGAAACGAAAAAGAAATATATCAGAAAAACTCATACCACTTCAGTGGCCAGCAGGTGCAGAACTAAATATGAAATATTTGCCATGAATTGTTTGCATTAAACATATAAATGGCATATGCCACATGTCTTACATATTCCTACAGGTTTAAAGCATGTCTAATAGATCTCATGTCAGCAAGGCATTCTGGTGTTACGAAAACCATAAACGGTAAAACATCATACACTTCTCTAACTTACTTTTCAAGAAGCACTTCGCCATTGAAGTACATGCAGTCAAATACAAAGAGACACACATTTGCATCCTTAAAAGCATTTTTCTGGAATAAAAATATCACTGATTAATAATAAAAATGTGGAAATTCATGAAACACCCCCCCCACACACACACTGATTATTCTACTGTCATATTTTCCATGTATTAATATACCATACGTATTATCAGACAGCAATTACTTACCTTGTGAATTCCCAAACTCCCAAACGGCAATGGTTTTCCAGTCTTTACATCTATCAGAAGGATTTCGCTGTCCAGTATAAGATCTTTCCCATGCGGGAATGCTTGAGGAATGTAGTCTTTGAACGTGTTCACCTAAAACCATCAATACGCACAGACTATGTATGGTAATGCTTGATTATTCCATTACTTTATGTAATATGAGGGTAATAAATTATGAATTAAGAACAGTGTGGAGATTGTCAGGTAATATTCAGGCATTTGCTTAGAAAGTCTGAGAGAAATCACATACGAATTCCTGGTAATCAATGCCAGTTAAAGTTAGACACTTCCTGAATATGAGTCAGACACATTAAAATTGTATCAGTTCTTTTGATAACGTAAATACTCTTTTATGTCAACATGAGACTTCTGGATCACTGAATTTTTTGACGGCCTATAGGGATATGCAGAAACACATTTATATAACCAATTTTCCTGAATGTTTTAACATGTAATTTTATCATTATTTCTTGATATAAGGATAAAATATAATATGTGATCTAATAATCTAATAAAACAAAGTGTCATAGGCAAGTAATTATCATTTTTATTCTGTTCCAGAGGCCTTGGGTTCCAAACCTAGTTCTTAATGTCTTCATTAGCCACTACAAGTAAATTCAGAAATCAGTATATCATTCAAGGCTACTAACTTGTTAGGTTAAAACTCATTGTTATATAAAACAAAATCGAATCAATCCAGCCACCACTACCAGAAAAAAAAAAGTTCTGCTATTCTGTTTATAGGATTTTTATAAGGGCCTTCTATTCTGATTCATGTAATAATTTGATACAGTCATTACTTCAAAAAAATTAGGCAGAGTTTCATTCTGTACCTTCCCTAATTTTACAGAAACTCGGATAGGCCTACACGATAAAGGATTCTGTTGGTATATTACACAAGTGTCCGATTACTGTCACCAACACACCAGCATAACCATGGGTCAAACATACTGGAATAAACAGCTTTTTATTTGTAAAATAAATTTAATATTCAATACATTTTAAAAGAAAAAATGTCCAAGTCAATCATCACAAAGAAGCACAGAAATATTTAAAAATATGTCAAGTCAAAGCTACTATTTAATCACACTTGGCCAAAGAACAATTCCATCATAAATCACTGATATATTAGGTTTAAGTAGAAGATTTATCACCCATTCTACCACTTACCTTATGCGGCAAAACTGGCTTAAGACTCCGTGAAAAGTATTTGAATTCATCCCCCTTCTTATGTACCTGGACCCGTTCACCGTCATATTTAATTTCTGAATACATTCCATTTGGGCATTTCTTCATTCCGTATTCAACAGATTTACAAGCCTCAGCCTGCAATTTAGATATAACCAATAAGAAACTTAGACTGTCTTCGAGACAGAATTTTAAGAGCAATGAGAGATACACAAAAACTTTGTATGGACATACACATGATCTGGTTCTCGTATGTGCCATAGCAAACAGCGTTTCAGCAAAGTCCCTGGAAGTCACACCAGGAAATAACAATTACAGAGTTACAATTTCATTTTAAAGGATGTACAGAATGGAACAGATTCAGAAATGAGAAATGTATAGTCAATTATCAATAAAATGGCTGAGCGCAAACAGAATTGGGTGTATCACACATCAAGACAAATGAATGAAGAAATGAACAATGACCAAAAAAGATGGAGTTCTGAAACTGAAACGAGCAAGAATGTCTCATGTAGCGAGAAGAAAATTTTATTCCTTGTCATGTGCTGTTTATTCAACTGGAAGATTAATTCATATGCACACTCACCACTAGCATCTTCCTGGAATTCACCTCCTGCCTTAACTATTCCTTAAATTCTTAATTTAATCTTCAAACATTACACATTTTGGAGTAACATCTGCATAACATAATACAAAACAAATGGTAGCACAGAAAATACAATTAAATTTTCTTAAAATGGACATTCTACCGAAGGTTAAAATTAAAATTCTCAAGGAAGTCACATTCATTCATATATAAGAACATACAGCTACTACTACCTCAAGATACTGTATTAAGCTTTACCATATGGGAACAGGGAACAATGAATATGTGGATGCCAGCCACATTCTAAATTTTGAGGGTTTCGATGGTGGAGGTATGCTACCGCAACACTCAGCCAAGTGGACCACGCTTAAGCTCCAATAAAGTTAAAACTTACACAAAATATCATTTAATTTATTCACACAACTACAGAACTTTCCCTTCATTTTTACAAGGCAACAAATATCTGATGATATAATTATTCTTTATAACATATAAATAAACATACAACATGAATTTCATTCCTGAAATGGACTTATGTATTTCTTGAGCAGACATTAACCTCCTGTGGGCAGGTTTAATGCATTTTCATGAACCAGGATATGTTCCACAGCAAGAATGAAGGAATGTTTGCAAAGATTACATAATTAATAAGAAAATGTACAAAAAGTGGACATTCATTTCCTCTTTGGTTTTAAACAGAGCTTACAACAGATCCGAAAGCAAGTTTACCAACTTAAAACATTGCCGCTGATCCTTACGATCAAACTTCTGATCACTCAATTCTTAAGAGAAATTAAAACAGCTTTAAGAGCCAAGTAATGTATGACGAGCCCATAACACATCACAAAAAAAAAAAAGTACACTCAAGGCAGCTCAAAAACAGAACTGCTCATATAACTGTAACAAAATAAATCAAACTGCTGAAGAGTCTATTCATTTTACATGAAATTCAGGTATCCAGTATGACTTACACACTAGCTTTATCTAAAATAAAATATAGACTTGCTTCGCTATCTCTCCGAACAATTAAATATTTCAGAAAAGTACAAGAAAGTGGACAAAAAAAGCCTGGATCACTACTAAACAACGGGCTTACTAACATAATTAGTCCACAGTCTCGTCATCCTCATGCATTTTGTTGTATTTTCTTTTCATAAGTAACGAAAACACAAATTTCCTGAGGTTTTACTCATGAAAAATTATAAAGATTAAACAAAATTACTAAGTCTCATCCTTGAAGAATTTCTGCAGCAAATTAATGACAATTTGAGACAATATAAACAAACCTAATCATTCCTTCTTATCACACAATTCAAAAAACCTTGTGTACAGATGTTCATGCTTCAAACAAACATTACTTGATGAAATTTTCAACATATTTCTACAATTCATTATACCAGGTGAGCACAAAGCAACTTTACAATTTCAAAATGATACAGAAAACAAATGCAGATTACTCAGAACTTCACACCTACAGCAGTCACCAGAAAAACTCTCAAAGTTTGCACGCACCTCACAGAGACTTATTATGTGTTCTGTGACTCATACGGCAGATGTCAAAATGACAATCCAACTTGTCCTAAACTTTATGCAGTGTTCCTGATGACGGAAGCTATGCAGTTGCGATTTGCTGCCTCAACGATGGCAAAGATTGCAGCATATAAGGATATTTGGCTGGGCGGTTCAACATGAAATTGCATACGAAAAGCACGACCGTTACAGAACCTCGATTCACTAACTGCACAACACATAAACTCGTCCGTTGTGGGTTATCCATTTTCAAAATCAGTGGCATCTAACTGAGACGTACAACAACAACAATCACCCGGGTCATTTGAAACAAAACTTTGAGAGATTTTATATTGACTGGTGTAACTATGAAGTTTTAAGTATGCTTCATTCGTTTTCTTCATCATTCTAAAAGTGTAAACAATTTCTTGTAACTTTGTTTGAACACTAAACAACGCTTGGAAAATACTTTCTTTCCCAAACCAAATACAATGAATTCGTTATCTCACTTCAGACTCAGTCTTCAGAACATTCTTGGGAAGTGTTCAATTGAGGTTAATGCTGGACTGAAAACATTTGTCGTCCAGTTCTCCGATGTCTATGATAGCTTTATGTATGATTTGTTTCAGATGTCTCCTGTTTTCTTCAGAGAGTAAGGAACGTATCTCATGTGCTACATAGTTGCCAAAGATGGTATACTCATCTTCATCATCACTGTTGCAGGATTTATCGATCCTTTGTGATTCATTATCACTACAATTTGAAGTGGTATGTCGTTTCTTCATAGGCTGTGAGTCCTCACAATGATTTGAATCAGCATTCCGTTTCTTAGAATTATGCGTTGAATCAGCGCAAATTATTTCTTTACTGTGATCTCCATTATTATTATGCTGAAAAGAAATTTGTCATCATTCACAGATCAAAATTCAAAAAAATATTTTAAACAAGTATTAAAAACCAATTCTGACAGGTAAATTACAATTACTATTGCTGAATTTCTGGGCGCTGTCCATCGTCTGGTGACAATTGACAAAATCCATAAGTCCAGAAACAGTAAAGGTATTAAAAGCACTCTCAATTGCAAATTTCAGGTTTAAGTCTCAACAGATGTTAGTACCACTTACACTACTTAACAGTAATACATTCACAACATAGCACCACAAGGAAGAATAATTATTATGACACACGGTAACATTTGCAGACACTTTCCATTAATTGTCTTCCGTAAATTTCAATCTGCAGAGTTACTGAAAGCAGGTGAGAGAACTACAAAAAGTAATAAGCATTTCCTGCACCATTTCTTCTCTTAATGTGACTTTAAAACCTAATGTTCATTTGGTAATTCCATTCCAGGTAAGCAGACTCAAGAGAGATTTTATACTAAGACTTCATCCTAAATTCTGTTTATATCACAAGTTCACATTCTTCTTTCTTCCTTTATTTATTTATTTATTTAAGCAGACTATAACAAATTCCAGGACATAATTTTATTTTGTATTTGGACACACATTACATAAGTTCTGGTTCTCTACAGAGTCACATAAACACAGCCGCATACAAGACTTAAGCCCCCGCAGAAAAACAACTGAAGTGCTGCTGGACATTATGATCATTAAAAAACTTGTGGCCTTCCAGTAGACCAAAAAGATGTACATCACTGGGATCTAAGCCTGAACTATAAGGAACGCGCTGAAGAACTTGCTGGCCCAGTTCATTTCCTCAAAAACTTTATCTGTTACACGATACAGATCTCATCAAATCAGTGATGGCAATGTGTGACACACCAGTTCTGGCATAATGATTAAGGTTCGCCCTCACCTTTACAGAAATATGCAAACCATTCAAACACCCTGTCTGGCAACAAGTGCAGTCTTCTTGATCGCTGTAGCCAATGAATTTCAAGAACCAAAAAATTCTCTCAGCAGCAAGAAACAAAATGACATAGTGTTGTCCAATTGCATGTTTGTCTGTATCATTTCCATACAAAATAATAACAAACATAACTGAATACTAAAATTCACACTTCAAGAATTATATGCCAGACGCGATACTCCTAGCATGGAACATGCGACATTCTGACATTTCATTCCGTGCAAAATAATACAAAGAATAAGTCCTGGATTTTAATGTGATCTTCACATATTTATATATAAATTCCTTTAGCAGTTTGAGGTATGTCTAATATCAGTTGAAACAGGTTTCACAAGATGAGACAGCAGATTACACATTTCACAAGCATAAAAGTAAATGAAGAAATTATAGAATTCTACTAATAAACAAAGCTCTACAACACAGACAGAACATGCCAAAGAATAAGATCCTGAAGAAATTGCAAAATTTTCACCCAGCATACAATACGTCTGGAGGACCTTTAAGTACGGAAGACTATTTTATAGAATCCATAATGTACAATCTAACTAAAAATTGCCATGAATAATGACAATAATAAATATTAGATGCATTTTGTTCAGAATTAACATTGAAGAATTTCTGTTTTCATAAAACAGCTACCACAGAAAAAAATGATGACAATTAACCTTTATCGTATGGGAATATTAAAATTAAACTGTATAGATTAAAATCACTCATTTCGTTAAAATCTTATGGAGTTCACAATAAGTCATACGTTAAGAATTACGATGTGCTAGAAATTATGATTACACAAAACACAAGACAACAACAGCATATTCAAATAATATTCACAAGCAAGAAATCTAGCCAAGCATTCACAATAAACCAAAATAACTATGAGGATGATCACAGAAGAAAATTCTATTAAAAGCAATAAACCATCATTATGAATATGACAGAACTTCATCAAGCATAAGTTGGTAGCAAGAATTTAAAAAGAGGTTTTAGTCTTACCAGCATGGGTAGGATCGGAGTCATGACGGAGGCTGTTATTTTGAGAGCACTCTTCTTCGAAGAGGAGCTATGCTCATCACCAATCTCGACAACTTTTGACAGAACAGCATGTAAGTCACGTGATGTCTGAAATGCTTGGTAAGCATCTGGATTCACAGCACCCAAACTGTGCGTGGAAGGAAAAGAACACATAAATACACATTTCGTACAAGAATTTTAAAGCTGTAACATATCCAGGATTTTATTTTGGGTGGATGGATGGGGGAAGATTTAAAAGGTAAGCTAATCCCTTCACCATAAAAATATTTATTTTGCAACTAAATGTTGCG